TATAGGAGAATCTTCAAGTAGGTGGGGTACTGTGCCATGGTTTGGAGTGCACTTAAGCAGTCCAATTCTTTATAAACCCCTGTATCCATTTTTTTTAAAAATATTATGCACATGGCCTCGGAATATATGCATATCTTAATATATTTTTGGTTTTTCTGAATTAAATCCTTTTCTGATCTGCTTCACATGATTGGCCACCTCATGTGTTTGTTGTGTTCCTTATTTGCCATGCTCAAACAAGTATATAACCAAAAAAAGAAGTGATGCACAATGTTGATCTTTTGATGGGGGTGAGCCAAATCCCCACTTTTTTGAAAAAAAACAAAAAAAGACAAAGAGGAGGTATATCGTTGTTGCAAGGGTCCAAGTCAAGGAGAGTTTTTCTAGTTGTTCTTCTTTTTCTTTTGCTTCTAATATTCTTAACCAGAGAATTGATTTTATCTTTACTTGCTTCCAGAATATCCTTCCAGTTTGGATGCCAAATATGCAAAGGAGTCTACCAGACAAAAAGCTTAACCCAAGGCAAGAACCACTCAAGTTTCGCCTGCTCCTCGGTGTATCACGTACTTGAGCTTTGTCGACAGCAAGTTTACTTAATGTAAAACTAAGAATATTATCCACTTTGGAGCCAGAGTCTTCAATCTACTTTCAGTGCCAACTTGGTCCAGATGATCATCGGAAAGAGTTGAATGTGAAGTAACTGAATTGCTGTTTTGCCTGATTTCAATAGCAAAAATGAATATTAAGATGAGAATGGGTATTGTCTATTTTAAATTATCTTAACTGATAAGTGAGACTAATGTATTTTGTTAAAAATGAAATCTTCTGAATCAAACCTTTATCAGGATACTTTACCACAAGATCATTGCATCCTTATTATAATTCTTGAAAGTTATTATTCCAAAAATTCTCTTGTTACAAAGTCTATGCCCAAGTAAAAATTAGACTTGGATCAACTTATAACAATTAAAATAATAATAAACATGGTTCCAATTATTAATCCACAATGTTGAATAATCACATTATTATATTTTGTAATAATCAATTTATTGGATTCAAAATAAATTTTATTGATTTGTTATTACAAAATAGTTATGTCAGATAAACATAACAAATACAAGTACTAATTATAAATAAATTACTAATATAAATTGAACTAGTTTGGCATCATTAATCCTCATACTTGCATATTAAAATATTTATAAATACATATATTTCTAAATTTCTAAAAAAAAAAAAAAAAAAAAATATTAACTAAGTCTAAAAAAATTAAAAAAAACAATCATGTTACTTATCAAAAAACCATTAAAGTTGCTCTTAAAATACTTGAAAAATTCAAAAAGCCTAACATATGTGCAATTGTCTAAAGCTTTGGTATAGCAAAGACAATGCTCAGGCATGCAATAAAAAATAATGATTTTTCTAAACATGCTGGTTCTCTAACAGTTTTGAATAAGTATGAAGAAGCACAATTAGTAGGTTATTGCATAAATATACAAAAACTAGACTTTGGGTTAACATGAGCAGATGTAAATCACTATATAATGAAGATTATATATAGTAATAATCATGATCATTTTTTGTTAACAAAAGGCCTGGTTAGGTCTGGTGGGCATGTTTTATAAAAAAACATTCTAAATTATCTTTTCATATACTTCAGGCCTAATGGACATATTTTATAGAAAAACATTCTAAATTATCTTTTTGTATATCTCAGGCCTTATCAGAAATGCAAATACAAAGAACTAATGCAACCATTGTAAAAGACCATTTTAATAAGCTTTATCATATAATTCAGAAGCATTCTTTTACTTCAAAACATATTTGGAACATGAATGAAACAGGTTTTGTCATTACTCCTAAAGTTCAAAAGGTTCTTGTGCAAAAAGATGTCTGTCAAGTTTATAAGGTCTCCTATGGCAATGTACATGATCATATTTCTGTTGTACTAACAATCTCAGTTGCCAATTGTTATATTCCACTATTAATTATTTACAAGGGTGTTCATGTTATTCTGAGTTTATTAGATGGAGCTTCTGCTAGCAGTGTTATGAATTTTACAAATACTAAATAGATGAAAGAAGAGCTTTTTCAAATATATTTTGTACATTTTATCAACTCAATCCTATCTGCTTATTTAATTTTCCTAATGCTCGATAGATATAAAAGTTATATTAATTATTAAAGTGTTAGTTTTTAATATGAAATAGAATTTTGCTTTATGCACTTTCACTCTACATCACACATATTCTTCAACTATCAGAGATCTCTTTTGCTAAACTTAAAAAGAAGCATGATAATGACTATAATATGCTTTATAATAATAGCAATGAGTTAGTAACTAAACACTTATCTGCTAAAATACTTGGACTTGCATTTATTTCTACTTATACTTTGATGACAATTACTAATGTATTTAAAACTACAGGAATCTGGCTCTTCAATTCCAATACTATTAGTAATGACTGTCTTGATCCTTTATTAACTACTAAAAGATTTAATATACTTATATCTTAGCAACATATTCAAATATTTGACCAAGTATTTGTTCAACACTTCATCCAAGTTAATCCTTAGCCAGCTAATTCACATCTCATCCAGACCAATCTTTTTAATAAATTTGAGGTACTAAGATTTAAATTTGAAGCCTTTTGAAAAGAAAATCAAGTACTAAAAAAAGAAAATATATCAATTAAAAAAGAGTTAGAAACCTTCAAGAATCCTGGTATTTCTTTCTTAAAATTGATGCTCAAGTACCCAACTTCTCAACCTAAAGAAAAAGAAGTTACTAGACAACTAAAAAAAAGAAAAACTCTACTATTTGCCTGACTTTTTACTAGTAACAAATCTTGGAAAAAAATAAAAAAAGTAGAAGAGTTGGCAAATAAAAAGGCTGAGAATATGAAAATAAAAAAAGAAACTGCTACTTTAAAATGGACCAATTATGAACTAAAAAAGGCATGAAAACAAGAAATCAGTAAGCAAAAAAGAAAAAAAATAAATAAAAAAAAATAAAAGGTGGTGTTTATTTTTACAAAGTTCACAAGTTCAGTATATATGTATATATAGTCAGCTCTAAAAGTTTATCACAATTATACAAAAATAATATACAAACCATTAATAACTCTTAATATAAAAAAAGTCACTGGGTCTAGCTAAAATCTTTCTTATACCAAACTTTTTTATATAAAAAACATAAATTTTTAACTGAAACTAGTAAAAACTTTCTTATGCCAAGAGCTTCTTATTTTGAAGATTTCATATATTGAGAGTTACATATATAGTTGTTTTTTGTATAATTATTATAAACTTTTAGAGCTGACTGTATATATATATGTATATATGTATTAATACTTAATTGGTCAATTTATAATATATATAATTCTGCTACAATACTCTTAATTGTTAAAATTGTAATTATAAGATCACTTTTAAAAAAAATAAAAAATTACAATAGTTGTTATATAAAAACATCTTTCTTTTTGATGAATTAATAAATAAATCATATTTATTATTTGTAAAACAAGTTTGAAGGATAAATAAGATTTTATTGTGAACTTTTATTATTACCTATTTTAACTCTGTCATAATATCATACCTATTTTATATGATATATTTAAGATCTGTAATATCTGTAATATTTATGCTTTTTAAACTTTTAGAGGCTTAGCTAATTTAACCATTTATATTCAAGTCATATGTACTAAAATTAGTATTTCATCAAAATTATTTCAATCTTGTAATCTCATGATCAGAATTATATAATTTTGTGCTTATTAGAACTGTCTTAATAAGCTGAATCTAATGATAGTTGTTTTATCCAAATTGGTTTGATACATCAAAAGTTATGATCAAAAATGTAAAACTCTTAATGTTAATAATACATTTTAACTATTTCTAGGCTAAAATCCTAATCCTTAAAAAACAGAAAAAACATTTCAAAAAATTTTTAGAATTTCATATTAAAATAGGTCTGAATTTTAGCATCAGCTATGCAATACTATATTGTATACTTTAAAGTTATTTCTTAAATAGCAGTTAAAGTATCTTTCATAGCTATCATAACATCTGTCTTGCCTTTTCTTATAATGTTAATCTAAAGTTACCCAAAAGTTTCAAGATTCAGATGTCTTTTTTTAGATTTTTTATGTTTTTGTTCAGCTCCAAACAATTCTCTATTAACAATTAATAAATATACAGAATTATCAAAATATATATACTGTTGATATTAAGAGTTTAACACATTTTTGGTCATAACTTTTGATGCACTGGATCAATTTGGATGAAACAACTACCATTGGATTCAGCTCACTGAGCCGGTTCTAAAGAGCACAAGATCATGTGATTCTGA